CGCACTGCACCAGCGGCTTCGTCTTGGTGGATGTGTATGCATGAGTTCTGCACCGAATGGGCGCAAAAAGCGCCCCAGCAGGTCCACCCGCTCCTCGATCTTCCAGATCAGCAAGCCCCCGCTGCAGAGCGGGGACTGGGAGCGCAGGGGCAGCGGCTCCGAGAGCGCCCACAAAATCCAACGAGCCCTGGACGACTGCAAGATGGTAGGTGAAAAATGCGTTTCTTTCTTTCTTTCTTTTTTTTTTTTTGGTAGAGGTAGGGGAATCGTGTATGTTAATCGTTTGCTTAAGTGCCGCTACTCCGCCACCCTCAGCTCCTCCATGCCGATCACGTGCACATGCACTATTTTTAAATCTGCAGTCCACCAGATTCGGGGTGACACCCGGCTCGCAATGGCCCTGCAAAGAAGTGTCGTGGCAAGTGTCTTGGGGTCAGCGGCTGTAGGTCGTGCCTCTACATCCTTGGAGAATGGCAGATACGAAAGGCTACGGTGGACCGGCTCGCTCACCAGGGAGGGAGGGGTTGGGTAGGTGAGGGTGCTGCTTTGTGGGGAGACAGTAGCAAACAAATCCAAATAGAGCGCACCGGGCGCTGCGGAGGGGACGAAGGTTCCAGCGCTGAGGCTGTGGCAGGTCTTCCCATCAGGCTCCCCGAGCTGTTCAGGGGCCGGCGGGAGGTGAACGGTTTGCCTAACATAACCTACCTTTGGCCTTTATCCCCAGGCAACTTTAAATCCACATCTAGCTATAGTAGAGGGGAACGTTCTATGCATGAGTTCCCAGCATTACTCTAGTGACCTGGGAGTGGCCTGGTAGCTCTCCAAATATGTTCTTGCTCTTCAGAAACTGAGCCTGAACGGTCGGGGCAAGTAGTTCTGGAAATAGAGCTTCCATGACCAGACTTACCCAAGAAAAATAAACACTTGCCTTGGACAAACACTTGTCTTTGTGCCTTAATCTTTAAACAATCTGTAGGCACCTTAGCGTGAGATATGGGGAGGTGACACAGGGGTCAATGAAAACCCCTGTTTAGGTACACCAAAACAGGAAACTTTCTGATGATGTGTCTCATGAAAGAAACTCACTTCTTTTCCAGCTTGTCCAAGAGTTCAACACACAAGTGGCCCTGTACCGAGAATTGGTCATTTCTATCGGGGACATCTCAGTCAGCTGCCCGTCACTCCGGGCGGAAATGCACAAGACAAGAACCAAAGGCTGTGAAATGGCCCGCCAGGCACACCAAAAACTTGCTGCCATCTCGGGGTAGGAGACTCTTGGCATTATTTGGTAACTCATCTGCATGATGCACAGATGCTGACAGATATTTATAGTGACCAAGACCTCAGAGATGATCTCTGCAAATGTGGGGGTTTTAGCCAGTCACCCTGAGATCAGGATTCCCTAGAGAGCTATGAGCAAACTATAGGCCAAATGATAATATGAAGGTTGTGTGATTCTTGTATATATATTGAAGATTTTGGTCATTAAGTGATTTTTTTTAAAAAAATTAACTTTCTGTATGCTGGCCACACATTGGAATTTGGGGCTTAAGATGTTTTTGCAGAATGTTTGAGCATCAAACTGAAGTTATCATGCCTCAAGATTGGCACAGGAGGTCAGTGAAAACTGCTCATCTGCTGCTAAACATCTACTGTACAAAAGGCCTTTGCAGTAGGGAAAAAATCTTTGCTAAATCCCAGATTTAATAAACTATTTATACTATGAGATAAATTCCTATGATATCATTTAAAATAAAATTCCCAAAATAAAGTCTTGGATATAAATTACTCTCTTCACTGTAGTGTATGAAAGGGAAGTTTTAACATAAGAAAAGCTTTTTAAAGATTGGGGAAATTTACAAAACTAACTCAATTTAAGCTGTTTGTGTCCCCCCTCATTATTATTATTTTTTTATCACATTTATGGATTCTCACGCCTATTTTAGGTGATAAGACAGTGAGTGAAAACTTGTCTCAAGACCCCATTCACTTCTGACCTCTCAGTATTGGGAGAGGTTAGTCATGCATTTTGTTAACAGTGCCTATTTTCAGATCAGTATAAAGAGCAAGGGAATGTGGGAATCCTTACACAAATACAGTGATTTACATGTTTGATTCGGTCCAGGTATAGCTTTTATCTATTTGTCTTTGTGAGCATGGTCTTATCAGAATAGAAGTTCTAGTTAGTCGGACTGACCTGAAAATGTTCCAGATTGATCACTTGTTGGGATTATATCCAATTTACTTATTTAAAAGAATCACTTTTCGTTATCTTCAAAGCCATTAGCATGTACAGTGATAACTATTGGTATATAAACATCAGAAAGCTGTATGTTATCTCTCTTAATAACTAGCTTACTTTTGACAACGGGCATTTTATATCATGAAAAATGATATGTTGTGCGTCTCCTAGAAATGAGAGATAAATAAAGTATGTTGCAAACCTGTTTTATTTGGTAGAGATGTTAAAAAGTATTATCCTTTTCTGTTTTGTTATACTGTGCTTACCAGGAAGTGAATCTGGGAGTGAGTCTAGGAGGTGGAACTGGGGAAGAAATGCAGCTGTGATAAATCTCAGAGGAGAAGGGAAGAAAAGCAATCAGAAACACAAAGGGAAATCATGGTGGATTAAAAACTGTAGAGAAATAATGATTCAGAAGGAAAAACGGGTTTAGAACAGAGAATTTTATGCTCAGGGCTAAGGAATCGCATCTTTGTAAACTTTGAGTCTAAGAGTGTATGGTGGGTTTAGATCCGGATTCCTTTAAGTTGGAACTCAAATTGATGACATGTTCTAACCAGAGAAGATGAAGTAGAGAAATGAACAAGGAGTTCAATTTAGTCTATTTTGTGACATACATGAAATTCAGATTCTTGTAAAGGTTTGGGAAAGAAAGAGTCTGAAACTATTCGCTAAAAGTTGAGTTTTGAGGACTTGAGGAGAATTTTATTAATTCAGAGGGTTATAGATAGCCCTTCACTACTGGCTTCCATGTTATCCAGAAGTTGATGTTATTGGGGGCAGTTTTATAAGAATTAGTGGGAAAATATATTGTTAGATCCCTGCAAAGGTAAGGCCAAATCTGTAAAATGTTCTAGGGTAGAATTCGAAACATTTTCTTCCGTTGGATAACAATTAAATACAGTTTAACCTTCTTTCTAAAAACAAAAACAAAAACAAAACAAAACAAAAAAAACGACAGCAATATAATTGAAGGAAATCCCTTTAGCTCCTCACCATCTGGGCCTCCATTAATGAAGGATGTGATTCCCTTGGTGGGATTCCGTTTTGGATATTGCTAGCTACGAGGGCTTCCACTTCAAGGTTGATGTGAAGGCTGGCAGGGAGGCTGTGGGAATCATTTTACAACTTGATGCAGGGTAACAAAGGCAAAGATTCCTGGGGACGTAGAGAGAAAGACTGGATGTCTTGAGTGCCCATGGTTTGCCGGCACAATCCAGCTAATTGATAGCCAAGTCCTCTGAGGGAGGGATTATCATCCTCATCCTAAAATGGGTCTCAGAGAGGTTAAAGAACTTCCCAAGAAGTGGTACAACTTTGATCTGGCCTCCCATCTGCATGCTTCTGAAACCCATAATCTTTTTTTTTTTGTATAATGCTGCCATTCAAAAAGGTGTCACATAGAAAGGAACAAAGTACAGAAATGTACTAACATATGGGCAAACCTCCAAAAGAGTATGTAACATGACAGAAGCTGGTCACAAAACACCACATAGTATATGATTCCATTATGTGAAGTGCTCAGAGAAAGCCAATCCTCAGAAACATACAGTGGACTAGTGGTTGCCTAGGGCTGGGGGTGGGAACAGGGAGTGACGGCAGATGAGTTTGAGGTATCTTTTTGGGGTGATGGAAATGTTCCAAATTTGAATTGTGGTAATAGTTGTACAACTGTATATTCGGTAAAATTCAGTGAATTGCACGCTTAAAATGAGTGAATTTTATGGTGTGTAAAGGATAGCTCAATAAGTGTTTTTAAAAAGGTCTGATCACTGTCACCATGATGAACACTTGCCTTTTGTTGGCTTTATTCTTTTCTACATATGTAGCTTTTCCTGAAAGGGATACAAGCTACGGGGATGGGAGAAAGTAAACCTTGGCTCTCCATGCATTCGTCAAGATGCCTGCCTGGCAGCAATCATCTGAGCATCTAAGCACTGAAGCGTTGCTTTATGAAGACAGGTGGGGGAAGGAATTGAGGGAGTAAATGAATTCATTCATTTCGTACCCACACCGACTACTCCTTTCCTGTCTCCTACCTGGTTTTGGGGCCAGAGGAGGGAGACAGGATTGAAATCGGACAGGGTAAAAAGAGAATGCAGCAAGATAAATAGAAAGGAAGAGAAAAAACAATGAGTTCAAATTAAGCCACAAATAGTACATCCCTTTTCATCCCTGCCCATTTGAAATTGTCCAGGAATGGGGACAGCAAGAGAAGGAAACTCAGACTGTGTTTCTCACTAGCTGGCCTGGGTCAGAAAGCCATCTTCACAGATACACTTTCTCGAATTGTGTTTAGATTAACAGAAATTTGGGGACAGCCTTTTCTTTGAAAGTCTTTGGATGTTTTCTGGACAGCACCAGCCAGGTGAATCTGACTGGTTTGATTTACCACAGTTATTGTACCTTTACTGTGATCCTCTCTGAGGTGTTAAAGCTAAGAGGGGCACTGCTCGGTGTTTCTCTGTGTGTGTGTGTGTGTGTGTGTGTGTGTGTGTGTGTGTGTGCGCGTGCACGCGTGTGCACATGGGGTCCGCAGCCATCTGGGCCCTCCTTGGACTTCCTTCCAAAGCTGACTTCAGAGACACCGTGGAAGAATCCCTAGGTCTCTGTCATACAGGGAGTGCTGACTTAGCAAAATGCCCTTGTTTTATATTTGAGGAATCTGGGATTTCGAGGATTTAAATGACTTTAGAGGCAACTTGGCGGCATATATGGGAAGATTTTACAGTCAGGCAGACCTGGACTGAATACCACTTTGGGGACCTTGATGGAATTACTTAACCCTCTGAATCCCACATCTCTCACCATAAACTGCTGTCATGCACACTCCTGGGGGTACCGGGGGGACTGAGGGAGGAGCCAGGTGGTGATGCCAACCCCGTCAGGGGCACTCTGCCAGTCCGAGGCTGCTCTCAGGCTGGAAGCCTGGTCTCTCGCTCCCTGGTCTAGTGTCTGTTCCATCATCCACACCCTCCCCTGAGACTGAAGAGACGAGCACAGCACGCAAGCTAGGAGTGACCAGGGGAGCCAACAGCCTCCAACACACCTGCGAGTTTACGCCATGGCTGGTGGGCTCGTGCTCAGGGGTCCTTTTCCTGGACTGCTTCTGTGGTGTTTGTGTCGCACTCAGTCTTCACACCACTACCCTTAGTTGGTGGCCACTGATTACAGTGAAAGTGAGGTTTAAATACACTAATGTGAGAGGCAGCATAGCTGGGATGGGAAAGTGCATTGACTCTAAATCAGATTAGACCTGGATAAAATCCTGGCTTTACCACTTATGAGGGATATGTGTGGACTGATACGCAAATTTCTTCATAGGGTGGTAAGTGACAGTCTGGTACAATGGTTAAGTACACAGACTTTAGAGTTAGACTGCCAGTGTTCAAATCTCAGCCTTACCACTCACAAACAGTGTGACATGGGCAAAGATATCCACCTCTGCCTCAATTTCTTCATCGACAAAATAAGGTTAATACATCATGGGACCAAATCATATAGTAATCTGAGGATTAAGTAAGGTGACATACATCAAGCACTTAAAAGACTGCCTCGCATATAGCAAATGTTATTAAGTTCAATTAGTATTCCTATTGTAATTACTAAGAAATTTAGAATTCAAGTGGTCAGGATACATTTATATTAAAAATAAATTTATCCATAACATATTTTTCAAATAAATATTTTAGCTGGAATAGAATTTTGTTTACCTTAGTTTCTTCCATTATGTTCCGAGGAATTTTCTAAGTTGAAGTTTTCCTGACGGCTTTCTCAAAAGGCCTCTTCTTTAATATCTGAAAGACAATATGGAGATGTGAGGGGTCAAAAGTAGTTAAGTTCAGAAATATTTTCTTTGTGTAAATCAGCCTAGATTCTTCACAAATCATATTTACAAAATCTTTTGGCCTAGCTCTGGGATAGGCTGCATGACATTGGACGAGTCTCAAATTCTCTTACACCTCAATAATTGAATTGAATGATTTCAGAGTCATCTGGCTCCATCATTCTAGCGTTCTCTG